ACTAGAGACTTGCTGGAAGGAGCAGTTCGGGAGGGATCTGTTTTCTATTTTCCCCTGCTGATTGAACTCATCTGGATGCGAACGGTTTTCCTGCTTGTCCTTATCATTACCTGTGTGGGGCAGTTTGCCTGACCACTTATTTCCACTGTTAGACGAATCTGTCTGGGAAAAAAGTTAGATAATAAACTTTATTTTCAGTGAGAAAACCCAGGAGAAAATCCAAGTGCGTTAAAGGAGGCTCCAGTCTTAACGTTTTAAAAAAGCAAAACTCAAAAGTTCCAATTCCACAGGGCAAAGAACAATTAGAAGGGAGAGACTGAGAAAGAGGGAGCGAGGGAGAGGAGAGAGAGCGAGAGGGAGAGGGAGAGAGGAATAGAGAGACGGTTTTTCTTGTTTTTAGTGGTTTATTTGTATTCGCGTACAGAGCTTTTTTTTTTTTTTTTTTTTTTTTTTTTTTAGTGGTTTTTTTTTTTTCGCGTACAGAGCTTTTTTTTTTTTTTTTTTTTTTTTTCTTATGAAAGTCCTTTCCCCCCAGTTCTTCCAAGTGCAAACCTTGGAATCATTAGCTCTGGCTGGACAGGGGCTGCATTCTCCGCGACCTGGACATTTAAAGTGATTTCCCTTGAGCCTTCCGGCCTCTGATCTGACTTCAGGGCAGACGGTCGCAGCTGTGATGCGCTCTAGTTAGCTGCGAAAAAAATATCTGCGGGGAGCGAGGGGGATCGGGTGGGTTGCCAGGCCGGACAGAGGGGGCTCCTCTATGGGGCGTTGAGACCCCACCAGGGTCCAGGGTTTGGTCTCTGGAGCCAAAACCGGAGGGTTGTGGGAGTGGAAGAGTTGTGCGGCTCTAGCCTGGAGCGGCCTCGGGCTACGGAATCCTCGAAGCCAGGCAGGATCGCCACCCCACTGCCTTCCAGGGAGAAGCAGACGCCGCGGGGCCGGGGACCGCGGGGGGAGGGGCTCCGGCCGGCGGAGGTGGGAAGGCGGAGCTGCTGGCCCAGGCCTGGACCTCCCCGGAGCTCCTCCCGCCGCTGTTCCTGCAGCTCCCCAGCCCGCAGGACTTGGCAAATTCCTACCGCCCCCTCGGCTCCCCTGAGTTCTGTCGCCTGTCTCCTCCTCCCTCCCTCCCGGTCCCCCATTCTCCTCACTTTGGAGAAGTCACCGCTTTTCCAACACCTTTTGCAAAACCCCAGAGCTCCGAGTCCCTTAGCTGAATTCGACTCTTGTTTTTATTTCTGTTTCCTTTCCTGCTCCTCTTTTTTGATTGATGTGCGAAGGCTGATGTCTCAGCCAGAGCGAGAGGAATAAATAGATGCTGCCTCGCCCAAAGACTTAGACGCCAGGGAAGCGCAATCAGCGCGGTAGGGGCGAGGCTCCGCCAAGCCCGTGGACCTGACCCGGGGATTTGGATCCAAGCGAGCTTTGCGATTGCGGGGAGGACAGCTCCCAGGTCATTGTGTCCACTTCCAGAGGGGAGGAGGAGACCGCGAAGCGCGCCTCTGCACCCACGGTCGACTGCGCCTTGCCCCATCCTGCCGGGATCATGGTGTGCAGCGTCTCGGGAGGGATGCTGCTGCTGCGGGCCGGGCTGCTTACCCTGGCTGCGCTCTGCCTGTTCCAGGTGTCTGGAGCCGGGGCAGCAGCCTGTGAGCCGGTCCGCATCCCGCTGTGCAAGTCCTTGCCCTGGAACATGACCAAGATGCCCAACCACCTGCACCACAGCACCCAGGCTAACGCCATCCTGGCCATCGAGCAGTTCGAAGGTCTTTTGGGCACCCACTGCAGCCCGGATCTGCTTTTCTTCCTCTGCGCCATGTATGCGCCCATCTGCACGATTGACTTCCAGCACGAACCCATCAAGCCCTGCAAGTCTGTGTGTGAGCGCGCCCGCCAGGGCTGCGAGCCCATCCTCATCAAGTACCGCCACTCGTGGCCCGAGAGCCTGGCCTGCGAGGAGCTGCCGGTATACGACCGCGGCGTATGCATTTCTCCCGAGGCCATCGTCACCACCGACGGCGCGGGTGAGTCCGCAGCACAGCCCACCCTCCGCGTTGGAGCCCTTGGTTTCTCTTCGAAGGTCCTCTATCCTCTAATTTGCTCTTTGCTCTTGGGATCGCTTGATGCGCCCATTAATCACTTCTCTATTGGTCCTGTTCTATTTCTTTTTTAAAATCTCACTTTATCATCCTTCCAGTGGAGGTGATCGGTGCGTTTTATACTCATCACACTGCAGCTCCACCCCGACTTCTCTTCTCACTCTTGGCGTGTGAAAGTAGCCACGTTTTACCCAGCGAATTCCTAGTCTTATTTTCTTCATTTGTTTCTTGCCGGATTCTTTTGCAATCTCATTCATCAGGTTGCTTGCTGTAGCCTTGGTGATTTCACTGCTTACAAGTGTAAGGAGAAATCGGAAAACCGAAACCCACATTTTCTTCTAGTCACTAAAAGCGCTAAGATAATTTCAGTAACTTTATCCCAACACACAGATCTATTAGTAGTATGTGTCCAAAACCCTATTTGAGCAATTACCACCACCTTAAATTTCCCCCTCCTTTCAATGAAATAGATTGTAATTCTATTCCATACTGGAACAGCTGTGAAACATTGCTGTGCACTGCAGAATTAGCTCCTATGGCCTGCTTCACCCAGAGAGCCTAGGGACTTCATGAAATGACTGGTCCCTTTTCATAGACCCATAGCCTTCAAGTCATTTGTAAATGGCATATGGACAAAAGGAGTTATATTTTCTGCTTTCTGTTCTTATATAATGCTATTTTAATCTCATCCTTTATCTCATTCATACTCTACATATAATTTGTCTTAATAGTGTATTCTTTGTGTAAATGCCATCCACACATTCCCCACACAAGTGTAAGTGTACTCTACACTTAATGGGTTTCGTTGCAATTTGTTTTCTCACTGATGTTTGGTTTAATTGTGACATTTGTAGTGTTAAGATCCCAACTAAATCCAGTTCACTGTGATCTACTTAATTCAAACTCAATATTACCCCTACCAACCAACCCATAACCTCAAATTTTACCATTCATGTACTTTAAAGATGAAGCTCGTGATCTTCTGGGATCCACTGTTTTTAGATGTGTTTGACTTGGTTGTCCCATTTATGTACATTTATTTAACATCAAGGTTTCCTTCTTCTGCCTTGCAATTTGATCATGTCTCCAGTCCCTATCTAATGAACAGCTCTCAGTTATCATTGAGCAGATTTAGAAAAATCACTTTCATTAATTAAGAAAGTATGAAAGGGAAAAGTACAAATAACTGAAAATTAAAACACATTTTTGTGATGGTCACCTTACTTAGTTTATCACTGTGAATGTAAATACTGTCTTCTTGAGGCTAATCAAGAATCAAGAACTATTTGCATAAAATAACCAGAAAGAAATGTATTCTTTTTACTGTTTGACCCAAAGAGAACTCTTGAGCCCTTCCACTCACTAAAGCCACAGGCTCTATGCTCTGGAAGGCTCAATGCAGTTGCTATCTTGGTTTGCCAGGCACTTAAAGTCAGTTAAATGACTTTAACTAACTCTTCTCAGGCCAAATGCTAGGAATGAGGTGGCAATGGTTCACTCTGAAATGCATCCTTCCCTTAGAAGACAAAACCTGCTCTTAAGTCTAGAGATGGGCCTGGAGTAAGTGAGGTTTGGCAAGGATAAGGGCTCTGAAAAGTCAGTGTGGACGGGAAGCAGTTTCATTAAGCATCCCTGAGTTACCTATCACCGTGGACCAAACATGGAACAATTGCCTTATTGAAGCCTTCAAATAGGACATGCATGGGAACAGTTTGTCAGTCCAAGGGATATAATTTCTGAGTTGCTTTAAAATGCCATAATATTTGTTCTGCTGACAGCATCTTTGGAAGAAAAGTAAATGAGGGTAGGTGGTAGTGATGATGACCTCACTCCTCACCTTTGGTTTGAAGCAGACTGTTGAGACAGGAGTGAGCTGAGGACAGGGATGGAGAAGTGCGTGGTGGCGTGAAGGGGCCTGCGGCCTCCAGTTTGTTGAAAATTGCATATTCCCTATGTTGAGTGGAACTGTCAGACACCTGGAATTACTTAAGAACTACCAAATGTGGCCATTTTTATTTACAATGTAATTTACTCTTTAGTGGGATTTGATAGTTTACAAAACAGACTTTTTTTCTTCCTCCAGGTATAAACAAAATCCCTGTGCCTTATGGCTAGAGTCTATCCAACCAGATATGAAAATAAGACTTCTCTTAATAAAGTGGTGTCCCTTCACATTCCTGTATCATCAAGAGGATTTTCAGATCTAACCATTCATGATTATCTCTTTACTCCTAATATATTGTGACTCTACAAACAAGCTTAGGGCATTTTATAAAGCAAAACCTTATTGAAACAGACCAATGCTTCAGGCTATTTTTGCTTCCAAAACACTAAGAATGAACACACTTTTAAAAAGAACATCTTACATGTTGACCATCACTAATATTTATTATGTATTTCATGTTTATTGTAGAGCACTTTGAGAACTCAGTTCAACTTGGCCATTTGGTTGGTTATTTAAGACACTTAGCCAGCTCTTTAAGAGTCACACAGTGAGGCGAGTGAGGCAGACCAGGTGCTGAACCTAGACTTGGGACTCATGCCAGCTCTTGCTATAGGGAGATGATATAACTTCTGACTCTTAACCTGCAAGTGAAGGCAAAATTACCTATATCCCAAGGGCATGGTAAAGATTAGACAGCATGTAAGGCATGGAGTCTTGAACCTAGCACACGGCAATCCCTGAACAAGTTGCTATTGCTAATTTAATGTTATTTTTACTGTTCTATCAAGTTAACTGACTTTTCCTTTTCCTTTGCTTTTTGGAATATGATATGTTGGTAATGCAGACACAGCCTGGAACTTTCATTAGTTCATCTCTAAAGAATGAGGTTTATACTGAGATCTAACTGGAGAAGCAAATTTTATTTCTCCTGAATATAGAAAATTAACATTTCCTTTCATACAAATCAACCTAGAACTTAGGCTCAGGAGTAAATTCCTGTGAGAATAGCAGGAAAAAAGACTGAGTTTGATTGACATCTGTTAATTAGAGATAGTCTATTAGGGGAGGGACTCACAAGGCTCCCCCCACCCCGACTTATAATCAGTTAATGGTTTGCTGGAGGGGGCAAGGTAAGGTAAAAGGGGTGGCTCACGAGGCTGTACTTCTCCTTGGGGATATATAGGTAGTTAATAGTTGCTGGGGAAAAGGATTCATTTTCTTCAGTGATGTAGCAAGTGATAAATTGCTCATGTGCTATAAATAACCCCTGACCCATGCTCCTGTATATAACCCCAATTAAACGCATTGGTTCACCAAAAAGGAAAAAAATAAGACATTTATCTCAGAAATTGACCATGTAAGACAAATTATGGTAGAGTATTTCACAGCTATTTCTAGAACACCTACAGCTTGCCATGCTGGGGGCTGTATAATCACCCTCAGTTACATTGCTGGCTTGTAGGTAGTACTAACATCCTCAGCTCTTGCTTAACACATTCTGCAGGCTCCCTTGCCTGGCAGAGCCCCACCGGCTTTCATATGCAGAAACTGCTGTTTAATCATTTCTGCACTCTTGGAGGAACAGGGAGCCTTTTCTTTAGGCCTGGTCTACAAATATTTGAGGGGCCAAATACCAAGAAGGAAGGATATGAACAAGAATATGGAATGAAGAGGAGAAATGGAAATTTTAGGTTCAGAATGGAGAGAAAACATGATTCTAAGGACCCCTCATAACCCCTGACCCATGATCCTGTATATAACGCTAATTAAACTCATTGGTTCACCAAAAAGGAAAAAAAAAAATAAGTCATTCATCTCAGAAATTGGCTGTGTAAGGCAAATTATGGTAGAGTATTTCACAGCTATTTCTAGAACACCTACAGCTTGCCATGCTGGGAGCTGTATAATCACCCTCAGTTATATTGCTGGCTAAATACTAAAAGGCCCTCTGGATGGCATGGGAAGAGTGTCTCAATGCTATTGTACTAATTTTATTTAGAGATGACTGGTTATCAGTGCTAGGAAATTTTTAGCTCATCCCTAAATCTTATTTTAACCGGTTACTTTTTATTTCCTTTTCACCAGACTTCCAAATAATTGTTCAAAGAGCAAAGTGGACTGTGTGATCTTTGACCTTTCTCTCTTTGCTGGATGTTTGGAAAGAGGAGCCTGAAAGCCACTGTGTAGATGTACAATTTTGAGTAATGAAGCATTAGCTATATTTTATGAGTTTAGCAAGAACCACAATTTCAGAGTTTGCAAGCCCTTAGTTGGAATTCCAGGCTTGCTATTCATGTTCCAGCAAGTCACTTGACATTGGTCAGAGATTGTCAATAACAAGGGAAGTGGTCATGGGGAGTGACTGGTAATGGTAAAGCACAATATAAACTCTAAACAAACTGGGGAGAGAAACCGCTGTCTCAGGACAGGGATCCTTAGCACTGATAGAACAAAAACTGAGAACACACCATACACTCTAGGCATTATCGTGAGCGGTGCATGTGAGGTTCTCTTAATAGCTGCATGGCAAGTGCTGTCACTCCCATTTTGCAGAAAAGAAAGCCAAGGTATACAGAGAAGTGACTTGAGTTTAATTCTGCTGCTGAGAAAAAGAGAATTCAAACCAGAGCCTGTTCTACACTGACCATGTTCTTCTGTTAAAAAAAAAAAAAGTGGCATTTCTATTTTTTTGGAGAAATCTGTCTTTTGCCTATCAGGTTGCAGTTAAAGCAGCAAAATATTTTCATTGTATTGATCTGTGGCTTAAAAGAATAAAAGGGGGCCCAAGATGATGGCCTCCAGGAGATAAGAAATGACTATTTGGCTACCTTGTTGAGATAGGATAGAAGATGCATTCCCTATTTTTTCCTCTAAGTCCTTCAGTCTCAGCATGCCCCAGAGTGAATTTATCCTTCCCACCCCTACACTTACTCTTCTCTAGCATTTCTATATGATTTTAAGACAGCATCATACTATAGTTATCCAGGCCTGGGAGTCTGCCTTGATTCCATCTCTGTTCATGTCTGGTTTTCAGTAAGTACCAAGTACTACTGAATCTACTCAGAATCAGACTTCCTTCCTTCTCTCTCTAATTTCATTCTTTTGCTTTGTGCTCACCGTGCCCTACAGGGATTATGGAATATATCTTCTTCATCACCAGTATTTCTTTCTTCTTCCATCTTCTGACAGAGTGATTTGTCTGAAATGTACAACTATTTACTTAAAAGTCCTTCAGCTCTGGCTCTGGCCTTCTCAATCTCCCTCTTCTCCTCTAGATTCATCTCTCTGCTTGCCCTGATCCCTAGTCTAGCCACTCTGCAGGACATTCAGGTCCCATAAAGAGTACTGTGATTCCTCACCTTGTAATGCTATTCTTGTATAGGCTTTGCTTCCAGAAATCTCTGAAATTTCTGCTAGAAATCCTTGGCACATAGAATCTAGTAACCACACAGTATCATTTCAATTCAGGATGATTTTAATGGTAGAATTTCTAAATTTAACAACCTGAAAATAATTGGGGAGATTATTTATGATTAGAAAACTCTGATTTTTCTCTCTTACAGCTCTAACAATTGACTTCTGAATATTTTTAAAAGTGTAGAAACATCTTTGACAGTATGAATATAAAATAAGGAAAATATTATCTGTAGCTCAACTGTTTCTAAGAGTTTTATTTTTCATTTATAAACCTTGAACAGTAAATGCTTCAAATGTGCACTGATATAATTTATTCATCTACAGGGAGATGATTTTTATATAAACCATATGCATTTTGTCTCATTATTATTCAAGAAGAGAAAAATATTGGAATTTTACTCTAAAACTTGGATATATTTATCATGAATGAAGTTTAAATAGGATAATAGTCATTATAAATGGTTAATGGCCAAGTTGAATGAAATGCTTTAGAACTAGTAGTTGTTGTTTATCCATTTTTTGAGACTGATCTCTTTCCTTTGAAAGAGATTTATTATTATTATTATTATTATTTATTGGGTTTTTTTTTTTTTTAGACAGGGTCTCAGGGTCTCACAATGTAACCCTGTTGGGTTTGGAACTCTCTATGTAGACCAGACTGACCTTGATCTCACAGAACTCTGTCTGCCTCCCACATGCTGGAATTAAAGGTGTGGGCCACCACATCCAGCTTTGATACATCTTTTAAAACATCATCTGAGAGCTAGGTGTGTGCTCAATGGTAGGTCACATGCTAAGCTTTGGGTTCAATACTCAGCACAGCAAACCCCTCCCTGTTGTTTTCGATATGACTTATGAAGGATAAGAACAGAAAAGAATGCTGGTTTTGTTCGGATAAATAGAGGTATTGAGCTTTTTTAGCATAAAGTGTTAACACAAGTATAGAATTCTTGTATAAAAGCTTGAGTTTGAGTGTCAGTAAGAATCCATGGCTAGTTATGGTGTCTCTCAGTATGGTGCTCTGCAGGGCCAAGCAGTGCAATTCATTAGAGGCTGCTCTCTTAATTAGAGCACAGAGGACCTTTATCATTACCATTTTCTGGGATTACAGCATCATGAAAAGAACCAGTGGCAATTTCTAATTATTGCCACATCTATTAATTGTACTGGTTTGAGTGGTCTACAGGCAGTAGGCTTGATTTCTGCTGAACTATTTAGTCTGCATTTAACAAAGGGCATGAGAGCACTTTCTGGTTGTTTTCCATAATGTGCCAATACAGTGTGACATATCCATTCGCTGTTGAGGTGTGTTTGGTTCTTTTTGTCATAAACTCACAAATGTTGGATCAGTGCCTAATGTTTATATGGGCTTTATTGAATTTACAATTCAATAAAATTTACAATTTTTATGAAATTCAAGCACAAATTATTTATTAAATCCTAAAATTTCATGCAAAAGTGATGAAGATTCAAGAGTAGCACCTTTCAGGGCTGGATAGATGGCCCAGTGGTTAAGAGCAGTTTCTACTCAAGCTGGGAGTGGTGGCACACATCTTTAACCCCAGCACTCAGGAGGCAAAGGCAGGCAAATCTCTGTGAGATTGAGGCCAGTCTGATCTATATAGTGAGTTCCAGGCCAGCTGGGACTACAGGGAAACCCTCTCTCAAAAAGACAAAACAAAAGAGCACTTGCTACTCTTGCAAAGGACCCAGGCTCGGTTCCCAGCACTCAATTAGGCCACTCACAATGGTCTGTAACTCCAGTTTCAGGGGATTCAATGCCTTCTGGCCTCTGAGGGTACCAGGCATGCATGTGGTGCACATACACACATTCAGGCAAATGCTCTTACACATAAAATAAAATAAAAAAAAATCTAAAAAGTCCTACCAAAATGCAGCACCTTTAAATCACATTGAAGAATGGATGTCACCGTTCTTTAACCCACCAATGAGAGGGCCACCCTCACAGCACTAATGAGGGTCCACTTCCTGGAGACACTTGGTTCTTATCCAAGTTGTCACAGAATTAGGTTTTGTATAGGAAGTCCTGAAATAATAACTCTGTTGTGCTTCTTTGCTTATTCTGCCACCTTCCAGATTTTCCTATGGATTCTAGTACTGGACATTGCCGAGGGCCAAGCAGCGGTGAGTACAGCATGCTTCCTGCTTTTCATGTGTGGTCAAATTGGTTTTTGATGTGTTTTTAATACTTAAGTCTTATTTGCAGAGCCTTATGCCCTATTTCTAAAAAAACCACAAAAATTATTTCCTTATTTTCTTAACTTTCCTTTTAAGATTAACATATTAAAACTGACCTTTTGGTTTACATTTTGGTAGGCAAGGATTTTAATGAATGATTTGTGCAACCACAGTCAGGATACAGATCAATTCTATCACTCCTCTCCACACTCCTTTATGATATATTCCTTTATAATTACAAGTTGCACCTGCCCTTACGCACTAGCTGTGCTCTAGTGTTTGATAATGTGTTTGGGGGATTACCAGATATACAAGATGGTGGAGCATCTGCTCTCTCTAGGAATATAGCTTCAGTGATAAAGTGTATAATCTTTTGAGATTAATTTTCATTTTATGCACAATAATGCCTCTGAATATCATCAAAGTTTTTGCATATATCAGCAGTCCATTCTTTTTGTTGAGGAATATCTTATTACTTGGATGTATTATCATTTATTTATCCCTTTACTACTTGAATGATATTTAGATCATTTCAGGTTTTCAACTCACAAAGAAGCTGCTATAAACATTTGCTATATTTTGTGTGACTACAAATTTCCATTTCTCAAGAATAAACATCTAGGAATAAGATTGCTGTGTCATATGGTAAGTATATATTTAATTTCGTTGTGGTGGCGCACGCCTTTAATCCCAGCACTCAGGAGTCAGAGGCAGGCAGATCTCTGTGAGTTCAAGGCCAGCCTGGTCTATATAGTGAGTTTCAGGACAGCTGGGGCTACAGGGAGACCCTGTCTCAAAAAGACCAAAAAATAAATAAATAAATAAATAAATAAAATAAAATAAATAAAGTATTTTAAAAAAGAATATATAGAGCTTCAATGTGTAAAAGAAGACATCAGCAACACTGAACAATATACAAAAACAGATTAACTTGGAAAATTACCTAGAATGAATGCAGTGTTCCTGGGATCAGTGTCTGCTATTCCTGTGTAAAAAATGTTTTCCTGTTCCCTGCTATAACCCGGGTGAGGAAAACAAACAGGCAAAACCAACATTCAGTTTGTAAAAAAACATTGATATATTCACATGTTCCAAAAAGAAAATGTAGTTTGTTTGCACTCAGAATTTTTTTCTTTGGAGAAGCAGCTGAGCTGGATCATGATAAAACAGGAAATGAGGAAGGCACAAAACATTGTAACCCACAGAATGACCTCTTTCCAAAGTGTCAAGCTGTTTTTGCCTGGAATTTGGAAAAGAAATTCTTTCACTCCAATTAGTTTGTTGCCTTAAAGCTTAACAATTTTTCACTTCCTTTTTAGAGATAATGACTCTAAAAAGTTTCCACTTGGTGTATTTTACTGTTGTAAATACACTATCGTAAAAGGAACAGATCATTCTATTTGCATAGCATTGAATATGGAAAGCCATTTAGCTCCATTCCACTGAGTCACCTGGTCAAACCAGCACTGAAAATTAAAAAATATTTAAACCATTCAATGGAAAGGCATGTGGGTGTTTTGTTTTGTTTTGTTTTGTTTTCTGAGGCAGGTCTCTGTAGCCCAGGCTGGCCTCGAACTCCCTATGCAACTGAAGATGACCTCGAACAGCTGATGCTCCTGCCTCTACCTCCCAAGTGCTGGGATTACAGATGCTTGCCACCATACCCAATTGTATGCAATGCTAGAGATGAAGCCAGAGCTTCCTGCCTGCTAGGCAAGCACTCTACTGACTGCTACATTCCCAGACCCATGGTCTGCCTTTTGAATTGAAATTATTCCAAAAATAATTCTCCTAGCTTTGTATTTTATGATGACAACACATTTATGAGCATTTACATTTACAAAACATACAAATTTTACAGAGAGGCAGCGCAGTTGATAAATTCTGATGCTGTACTATAATGTGAATGACTGAAGTATTTCTCTGTGCCTGTTTCCCAATATGAACATCAGATCAAATTGACCTTGGAGCTCCCTTCAGCAAATATTTCTGACTATAGAGGCTGGATTCACTAGAAATAACCTCTATTCTTTACTGGAAAAAATTAGGATAGATAACTAGTATATTTTATAACTATACTGTACAGCTACAGTCCACACCATTACATTTGGCAATTGTCACTTCTAAGCAATTCTTTTTCTTTAGCATTTGCCTCCTTGAATGTTTACCCAAACTGTCCAAGATCTTCTGTCTGCCAGGTGTGGGCAACTGCCCTTGGTTTCTGTGCTTGGCCTCCCCCGAACCCTCTCTTCATGAGGATTTCTTCTCATTAGAATTCTTCTAGTTTTATAGATTCTCTGTTAGTTAGTTTTGCTTACTCTCTCAGATAGAATACCATATTTTTCCTTAAATGGACACTTGTACCTAGCTGTCCTACTTATATTTAAACATAACATATTTAACAACGAAAGTAATCTTTGAATTAAAATTTTCCTCCTTGAAACATTAGAATATGGCGCTATCATCATCCTAGGTCCCCAGTAATGGAGTGTCATAACTGGTTTTATTCCATCCATCCTACCATTCATCAAAAATGCAAGGGAAACTTGTTTCTCCCAGACCCACCATATTTCAAGGCCATGAGGTGAAAGCTGACAGAGCGGCATTTCTCTCCTCTTGCTCTTTTCTGTGCTTGGCACTGGGCAGGCATGAGATTCCCAAGGCTGTGAAACTCATTTTGTCCTTTTGTTCTTTGACTTTCAGTACATCACAGACAGCCATCACATGTCATAAGGGAAAATAATCAAAACTGATTGACTATATTTTGGATAATTTGAATGACTCTTGGATGCAGAAATGTTGTGGAAAGTAATTTATTAAAAAATTTCCGAAAACATAATCTTAAAGAAATAAATTGAATTTCCTCTTCTCATTGGTACAGTGTTAGTCCTTGCAATCTTAAGCAACTTCCTTTTATAAAGTACAAATTATTATGAATTGAGTTCTTTTTTATAAACTTTGATGCTTGTTTTTATAGCTAAATCAAGCTAAACTTGCCATATTTTCCATATATTCCTCTAACCTAAAATAAAACTTAACATATTTTTGCCCTATGAATAAATTTAGGAAATAAATATTATTTGAAATCTTCAGTGAATGGTTGCTAAGTCATGACATACTTCAGTTTATGAAAAAATGTAAGGAATATCTTGTGAATTTTTATGTTAATGGTATTTTATTAAGGTTTAATTTACTTATAGTCAAATGGACAAATCTGAAGTGTGTGCTGCCTTGAGTTTTGAAAGATGACTGTACCTGTACAGCCATTTTCCAAGCATTTTTGTCACCCTTGGAGATTTCCCATCTAGGCAAGCAGAGTTCTAATTTTTTTTATGTGTATGAGTGTTATATCTGCATGCAGGTAAGTGCAATGCCCATGGAAGACAGAAGAGGGCATCAGATCCCCTGGTATTGGAGTTAATGAACAGTTGTTAACCTCCATGTGGGTGCTGGGAATCGAACCTGGGTCTTCTGCAAGAACAGCTAGAGCTCTTAACCACTGAGCCATCTCTCCAGCCCCAGAGTTCTAATTTTTATCACTATGTTAGTGCTGTTGAATCTTCCTGTCACTAGCTGCTTTTACTTACCATGACACTTTAGTTCTGTGCTTCATTTCGTTATTTTCATTGTACAGTAATGTACCCTTGAATGAGCATAATAACAGTAAGACTTGAAAATTCGAGGCTTTTAATAGTTGTTCTCAGTTTAATGTAGTTTTTGGCCTCTGATTGCACAGGAGTTGCTGTTATCTTTGCCCCACTCCCTGCTGCTTTCACTTCTTACTTCATCATTGAAATCAGAAAACTAGGATTTTTGTGTTTTTTCAAATGTCCCAGAACAGTAAGATTCTACTGATTTCCCATAAAGTGTATTTTTTTGATGACTTGTAATTTTGAGATGAGGTTGGTTGATCCTAGAGGTGGAATCTCTAGATGCTTTTCTATGTCTTTGTTTCTAGAATAGGAGAACTTGCCTCCTGAGGTACAATTTAAGGGCTCTCTGAAGTCCCACAGCAGCATCCATCCTGATGCTATTTTGATGATTTGTGATACAGCAGATGAAGCAGTGCATTGGTGTCTTTACTCACCTGCTGGCCTGTTTCCTCTTAGCCGTTGGCTTTCATGGGCAGTCTGGCCTTTGCCGTCTAGCAATGGTGCTAACTTTGCAGTCTTAATTTCAAGCATCCCACTCTACCTGCTGTCTCTTTTCCTTTCAGCCAACTTGCTCTGGACTCATCACTGCTGATTTTTCTCACTCCTTTGAGACTGTCTGCCATCAACTGCTTCTTCCTATCTGTCCAGCCCCAGCCTTTGTTTATGTGAGATTTCATTGTTTATGATAATAATCATTTCCTTAAAAATTTCTTCAATTCCCCTTCTCTTTTGGGGGCAAATTCCCAATTCTACTTATTGGAGAAAATTACTTAAATGGTGACATACTTGAAGAATGAAAATTTATTGGACAAGCCCACTGCAAAGTTTGCCTTTGCACTTGATACCAGTTTCATACTTGTCTTTCTCCACACCCCACATCCTGCCTTCCTCATCCTCATGGCCCCCTAGCTGACAGTATCACTTTATCTTTCGATGAGAAAGTAAAAGCTGTTGAAGAAACTCTCTCATCCTCCCACCAGCAAATCCATCATCCTGTCAACATCAGTGCCCCTCTGTCCTTTCTCTTCTTGTGTTGTGGGTGAAGTGTCCTGGTTTTCAAAGTTCTATTCTCCCTTTTTCTCAAGGTCCTGTCATCTCCTTGCCAATTAAATTCAATGGACCCTTTTATTTCTTAACTAACTTGAGCTTTGGGGGTCATTCGACACAGCAGTCCCTTTCCCTTAGAACTCCCGTCTTTTCAGCCTTTGTGACTCCATGCCCTTCCGCATTTCCTGCATGTCTGGGTGCTCTTTCTCAGTCTTCTTTGTGTACTTTTTCTTTTCTATTTTATAG